TTATTTATTTTATTGTATTTATTTTATTATTTTATTTTATTTTTGTTAATCCTTACCCAAGGATATTTTTCCATTGATTTTTAGAAAGAGTGGAAGGGAAGAAGGAGGGGGTGAAAGGGGAGAAAGAGAGAGAAACATTGAAGTGGGAGAGAGACATCTATTGGCTGCTTCCCACACGCACCCTGACCAGGGCCAGGGATGGAGCCGCTAACCCGAGGTACGTGCCCTTGACTGGAATCCAGCCTGTGACCCTTCAGATCACTGGTTGACACTCTGTCTACTGAGCCAAACCGGCTAGGGCAGAATCCTGACATTTTTGAAAAGAGCATGGACAAAGGCATTGAGGCGTGACACTGGTGTGGACCAGCCAGCCAAAAGAAAGTGCTGGTCACAGGGGCCTGTCCTGTGGACTGGAGCCTGCCCTAGCATTGGCAGATGATAGGAAGAGATGGAAGAGCCATGGTGTCTGCAGATGGAATTTAATAAATTATAATTTTATTTATTTTTGTATGAAAAGTAATGCATTCTTCTGGATCAAAATTCAAAGATTCAAAGGTTGTAAAACTGGGAGTCTCCTTCTTCTGTCCTCCCACGTGCTTAGTTCTCTACCCCAGAGGCAACAGATGTTATCACTTTTCTTAGCTGTCCTTTTAAGGCAGTGGTTCCCAACCTTGGCTGCACATTAGAATCACCTGGGAATCTTTTTAAAATCCTGATATCTGGGCCTCATCCTCCGGAAATTCTGTTTCTTTGTTACTAACGTTGCGGCCCCACCCCATAACAAAGAAACAATTTCTGGAGGATGAGCCTCAGAAATCAGGATTTAAAAAAAAATTCCCAGGTGATTCTAATGTGCAGCCAGGATTGAGAACCACTGTTTTAAGGGATGTTTCATGTTGTTTTAGTCCATGAGAGCTACTTTAACAAAATACCACTGACTAGGTAGCTTATAGCAAGAATTTATTGCTCAGGGTTCTGGAGCAGGAAGTCTGAGCTCTTAGCACCAGCATGGTTGGGCGATGGCCCTCTTCTGGTTCACAGCTTGCACATTCTCTCTGTCCTCATAGTGGAGGGAGCCAACAAGCTTTCTGGGGCCTTTCTAATAATAAAAGGCACTAATCCCATTCATGAGGATTCCACCTTCATGACCAAATCACCCTCAAAGGCCCATCTACTAATCCCATATACTTGCACCTTTGGGGGTTAGGATTTCAATATATGAATTTTCAGGGGACATAAACATTCAGACCATAGCACATGCATATACAAACAAATATGCACATACATCCCCCTCATTTTAGACTAATAATAACACACACTTCTGTACTTTGTGCTTTTTTTCAATGACTGTGTCTTGGAGAGCCTTCTCTATATTAGCTTCCTCATTATTTTGATGGGGCATTGCATGTCATGGCTGAATATACCAAAATTAATGTAGCAATATACTTTTACCATTTGAATTGCTTCTAGTGTTTTGTTATTACATATAGTACATCAGTGAATAACCTTATACATATGAGTAGAAGTGATTCTTGTGCTGTGAATAAAGTATGACCAAAACACTTCCATTAATTTTTCCAGTTTATGTTAGCAGGACATGAGAAACAAATGTAATAGGCTGGGAACATATTTTAGGGAGTAATGAAAGCACTTCCCAACATACGGGGGTGGTCAAAAGTAGGTTTACAGTTATAATACAATAATCCCATATAATAAAAGCCTAATATGCAAATTGTTCCCTCAACTAGGAGTTTGACTGGGAGTTTGACCGCTTGCTATGATGTGCACTGACCACCAGGTGGCGGTGCAAAACATGGCGGGCTTCAGTGACGTGGCGCTGGCAGTGGGCGGCAGGGGAGTCACTGTGCTTCGATCGCCTGCCAGGCCTAGGGACCGCACCTGTGCACGAATTTCGTGCACCGGGCCTCTAGTCTATATAAAAGCCTAAGCAACCAAACAACCGGTCGACCAGTCACTATGTTGTGCACTGACCACCATGGGGCAGACGCTCAATGCAAGAGCTGCCCCCTGGTGGTTAGTGTGCTCCCACAGCTGGAGCACCGCTCAGCTGACCCACAGGCTCCAAATGCAGGGCTCATGGCTGGTGAGCATTGCTGCAGAGAGGCGAGCCTCTCCCGAATGGGACTGACTGGGTGCGAGCCTGCGGCAGGCGCAGTGGGGCTGGGATGAGTGGGAGTGACAGGCAGGAGCAGCAGGCGGTGTTGGATTGCCGGTCTTGGCCTGATCACTGCAGGCCATGCCGAGGGACCCCACTGGTGCACAAATCTGTGCACCTGGCCTCTAGTTAATAAATAATTATACAGGAATAAACTCTGTTTTGCATAACACAACTGTAAGCCTACTTTTGTTAACCCCTGCATTTCATGATGTTTCAGGGTAAACTGATGAGGCTGCTCTAGTGGCCTGGAGGCTCTGTAGGGTGTGGCGATTCTGACCACAGAGGGCTGAATGGGAACATCAAAATTTGTTGCCCGTTTTTGGCACACCTGTTAGAAAGCGGAGGATTAGAATTCTGATCCCTGGTAGGTTTTTGTTGAATGGATTTGGGGAAAGTATTGTTTTAGGGAGGTTGCTTTTTAGGTAAGGTGAATGATAGATAGGAAGGAAGAGAAAGTAGGTCAGGAAAACCAAATGTGAGGCAGTAGCAGTTATGTAACCACCATGTGATGAAGGACTGAATTTCTGTGCCTAAGCAGGAAATGGAAGTCCTACATCCTTGTGAAACTGATGTATCTAGTTAACAGAACTTTATATAGAAAAATATATTTTAAAAGTTTTGTTTTAGATTGATATTTGATGTAAGCATTAATATTTTTTAAATTGACTTATTGGGGTGACATTGGTTAATAAAATTTTACAGGTTTCAGGTATACAATTCTATAATACATCATCTGTATGTATATTGTATTGAGTGTTTACCACCCCAGGTCAAGTCTTCTTCTATCACCATTTATCCCCACTTTATTCTCTTCCACCTGCCCCCATCCCGCCTTCCTTCTGGCAGTCAATCACTATACTGTGTCCATGAGTCTTTCTTTTTTTTTTCTTTGCTTAATCCCTTCACCCTTCTCACTCAACCCTCAACCCCCTACCCTCTGACAGCTGTCAGACTGTTCTCTGTATCCATGAGTCTGTCTCTACTTTGTTAGTTTATTTTGTTCGTTAGATTCCACATATAAGTGAAATTATAGGGTACTTGCTTTTCTCTGATTGACTTATTTCATTGAGCATACATAATACTCTCCAGGTCTATCCATGCTGTTGCAAAAGGTAAGATCTTTTTTATGGCTGAATAGTATTCCATTGTGTAAATGTACCACAGCTTTTTTTATCCACTCATCTACTGATGGGCACTTAGGCTGCTCCCAAATCTTGGCTATCGTAAATAACACTGCAATGAACATGGGAGTGTATATGTCCTTTTGAATTAGCATTTCTGGTTTCTTTGGATACAGTCCCAGAAGTGGAATTGCTAGGCCATAATACAGTTTCATTTTTTATTTTTTGAAGTAACTCCATGCTACTTTCCACAGTGGCTGCACCAGTCTGCATTCTCACCAACGGTGCACGAGGGTTCCCTTTT